TTCTGCCTCACAGCCGCGGGGATACTTCTGCCTCACAGCCGCGGGGATACTTCTGCCTCACAGCCGCGGGGATACTTCTGCCTCACAGCCGCTCAAAAAGAACCAAGGAATAGAGAGTTGGATTTGGATAATTGAGAACATTGTGAAGCCAGCCACATCAGAGATGTTCATTCAGGCAGCACGGGCAAACTGCAGAGGTCCAGCCGAGCTAATCATTAATTCCCCTTTCTTTGACTCGATCACAGAATGGGACACATTCAAGGCAGCTCTTCGTAGTAAGTTCTGAGGTACCTACACCTCCTTGGACTTCTACAAGGTTCTATACGACATACGGATGATACCAAGCCAGGCACCAATGGACTTCTTTTTGCAGTTGGAAGGGCACGTCTACCGGGGATACAGGGATCACCGCGAGGCCATTGGTGATCCATCCGAACTAGTGAAGAGGGTCTTCCTGAGAGGCATCCCCGCATGGCTCGAAGACTTCCTCTCTGTTAAAGAAGATGGTAGCCCAACCCAGATAGCCGAAACAGCACAGCGCATCTGGAATTCCCGCAATGGCATAAGACATAGTGATACTTCACCTGCAGAGGAAAATCCCTACCACCCTAATCGCCCTCCATGGTGTCGGGATTTGTATGCTGTGCCGGTAGCTGCTGAGCATTCCAGTCCATCTTATCATCGATCACCTGGAGAGGTGGTGTGAGCATCATCGGGTAAGGACTCACGGTACATCTGAGTGCAGAGCCAGGGCTGAGATCCTAGATCCACAGTCTCCCCGACGACGATGCTACCATTGCAAAGGTCCAGGACATTTGGAGAGAGATTGCCCCTTTCGTGAGCGCCAGGGTGACCAAGCTCCAGGAATCGCTGGTAGGTTCGATCCAAGGAGCACCTCACGTGGAGACGTTACCCCTCAAGAAGGGAATGGCAGTGACAGGGCCTACCAGACGGCCAGTTGCAGAACTCAATGTTAGTGGTTCTACATTCCGCTTCTTTATTGATACAGGATCCGAAGCGACAATTATTAAACCCCAAGCTCTCAAGCGGATTGATCCTCATAACTACGTACGTCGGAGGAAGACTTTCAGTATTCTGCGAGGCATGTCTGGTCAACCAATCAACACCCTGAGTGAGGTAACCCTTGTTTTCTGCCTTAACTCAGACCTTGAAATGCACCATATGGTCACTGTGTATGATGTAAGATTTCCTGGAGACATACTCCTGGGGATGGACTTTTTAAGAACCACCACCTTTAGCCTGTCCTCAAGGTCCTAGGTTGACAGCGCCTGTCTGACTTTAGAAGGCCAGGAGTTTCATGTGAATTATACTGATGCCCAATCCCTGCAGTTGAGTGTAGTGAGAGTGACCACACCAGATGTTCCAGAGAATGCTGAAGAGAGCTGCTTTTCCCCGTCTCGCTTGTCACCGCCCGACATCTCTTCTGCTGTGCACCTTTACAAAACCACAGAGCTTCCACCACACAGTGGGCATTTCTTGGAGGGTGTAGTGGCAAGGTCTTGCTCTGATGATGGGAATGTTTTGTTTACACCACAAATAATAGCTGTGTGCATGTCACTGTTTGTGCTGAGCACTGTTTCTAGACGGTTATGCCCTGTGTGGGCAGTCAACAGCACAAGGCCAATTTGATTAACACAGGGTACATGTTTGGGGATGGTATCTGCTGTCGAGGCTGTTTTTACGGCAGAAACCTCAGCCTCTGAGACTTCCGACTACAATTCCTGCAACTCTCCTTGTCCAGATTTGAGTGATGACCAAAGGGAAGATGAGGATTTCCAGTGGGAGGAAGACCAGTTTGACAGAACCTTTGGAATGAGGATTTTGGTTATCGCAGCACTGCCACTGATGTTGCTGCTGATCTTCCGCCATCACAAGCCCTTGCCGCAATCGAAGGTGCTAATATCTCAGATTACCCATTGCCCTTAAGGGGGACCGTCCTTGAAAAATCGCCAATTTTCGATTTTTGTTTAAAAATAGAAAACGGTCTTACAGATTTTCATGAATTTTGGTAGGATGAAAGAGTACTTCATTACACATCTTTTGACCATTTTTAATTTTTTTTGGCCAAAGGGAATTTAAGCGCTATTAAAAAATCGATTTTTGATTGATAGGTCACTTTGGTACCTACCAAGTCTCATCCATTTTCTATGTGCTTTCTGTTGAGAAAACCTCTTGGTCATATAAAGAGAACGAATTCGATTTTGGAAATTCCGTTTAGTTTCCGAATTATCGCATGTAATATAATCAGCAAAAAAAAAAAAAAAAAAAAAAAAAAAAAATAATAAATAAGAATCGGGGTTTTAAAAGTTCGATTTTACAAAATTCCATTTGTTATTCTCTGCACATTCAAACGTTCTTTCGTAGGGGAAAAGCTCCATGATATCGGACACAAACTGTGAAGTGTGGTCGGTACCAAAGATTAAAAAATGAATAAACAAATAAATGACCTTGAAAATGTTTAGAAAGATTTTGTTCATTTTCTATATTTTTTCGTCTTATTATAGTATGTGCCTATAGACCAAAAAGAAGCCCAGACATTGTTCTTTCTTTTGTTTTTAATTTCATTCAGATCGGATAAGTGATTTATAAAAAAATGTAAAACAGTATGATGAAAAAATCCCTGACCGACGCCGCCATGCGGCCCTTTAAATGCTATAGTTACCCCTGCGATCACGCGCGCGCAAGTTTGAACTTGTTCGCCTGCCTTCAGCCGTCCTTTACGCTTTACCTCATACTCTAAAAAAAAGGGGCGCACGCACATGTGTATTGTCACAATCGCGTGCGCGAGCACATTTACGCGTGCAAGTGCGCACGTGTGCACAAATACGCACAATTGCGTGTGCGAGCACATTTACGCGTGCAAGTGCGCGCGCACATGCATGCACATAAGGGCACACACCTATTCGCATAAGTGCACGTGGGCGTACTCTCATACACTTTTGCACGAGCTCACCCACAAACATACACACGCTCGCGCGCGCGCCTGCACATAATTGCAGATTTGATATGAAGACTTGGTAATCGATAGCTAAACAATATTATACAACCCTGAGGTTTCAATGCAGTACGTGTTTTGCATGTAGGCCTACTCAAACTGCCATGTACGCCTACTAACGCAAACTAAAAAAAAAAAAAAAAAAAGAAAGAAAAATAAAAATTTCATCATAAATTATATTGTATCATTCATGAATTGACATAAGGTGTAACAATCATAATTTGAACTGATATCAACATGTAATTACTTGATCACAAGCCGGAGGAATGGTCGGAACGAGTGTAAAGACCATGTACCTCAAATGAGCGAAAATGCACTTGCACCCCATGTTGCTTATGCCCTTGTTACATCAAGAAATAGTTCGAGATGGAGTCTAACAATCGAAGGGCAGTTTCCTCAGACATGTAACAATACGTTAGGACCAAAAACAAAATTTAAGTACCCCGACCCCCCTATGGCCAGGGACAGTCCCCTTAAAGACTGAAAACCAGATGCCTGATCTGGATCACTTAGGAGAAGATCAACGCCAGGAGTTGCAGAGTCTTCTGTGTAGCTACATTACCCTTTTTGATGGAGGTGAGGATGCTGTGGGCCACATCCCAGGCATTCAGCATAGGATTGATACAGGGCAAGCAACACCTGTATGTACCCGCCAGTGGTGTCTCCCGCAAGCAACCAGTCAAACAATACGCAAGCATTGCGATGCCATGCTCAAGAATGGTGTCATTGAATCTTCAACTTCACCGTGGTTGAGCCCTGTTGTCCTGGTGAAGAAGAAAGACGGGTCACTTAGGTTCTGTGTGGATTACAGGAACTTGAATGCAGTAACAACAGCGGATACGTTCCCTCTGCCAAGAATTGATGAGCTCATTGATGAATTAGGCCCATCCGATACGTTCACCACTCTGGATGCAAGGGCAGCATATTGGAGTGTCGAGGTTCATCCTGAAGACCGTCCCAAGACAGCATTCAGCGATGGCTATAGGCTTCTTCAGTTTTGGAGGCTACCCTTTGGCCTCAGTACTGCACCTACCACTTTCCAGAGGACAATGAATTTCGTATTGTCATCTGTTCTTGGACACCACACCTTAGCTTACTTGGATGATGTGGTTGTGTACTCCAAGGGCTTCTCGCAGCACTTGAAAGATCTAGAAGAAACCCTGCAGCTGCTGGCAGCAGCTGGATTGAAGCTGAACATAGAGAAGTGCAAGTTTGCTGCAACCACAATCAACTTTCTGGGTTTCACCATATCTCCCGAAGGTGTATCACCTCATCAAGATAAAGTTGCAGCTATTTTAGCAACACCTGCACTGAGAACTGTTAAGGAAGCCCGTCGATTTTTGGGTGCTACAGGCTTTTTTAGGAAGCATATAGAAGGATACGCAACGAGCACAGCTCCACTTCACCTCCTCTTGAAGAAAGGCCAGAGTTGGAAGTGGGAGAAAGACCAGCAATAAGCATTTGAAGAACTGAAAAAGCGTCTGGCATCAGCTCCAGTTCTGCGACAGCCAGACTTCACGCAACCCTTTGAGCTACACAGATGCAAGTAGTATCGCTTTGGGAGCAGCTTTAATCCAACGAGATCACGATGGTACACCGCATGCTATTGCGTACTATACTAGGAAACTATGCGACCCTGAAACTCGTTATCCAGCCATCGACTGTGAGGCATTAGCGGTTGTTGAGGGCATTAGGGTCTTTGATTCGTATTTATATGGCCGCAAGTTTTTGATCTACACAGACCATCGTCCTCTTGTATACATATTTAAACATTGAACAAAATCACCACGGATGACCAGGTACGCCCATGATCTGTCTTATTACGACTTCGAGATCAGGTATAAGGAGGGGCCCACCAACTACGTCCCTGACTTGCTGTCGCGACAAATTGCTGGCATAGATGTTCTGAAGCTGTCATCACAAGAACTTGCTCTGGAGCAACACCAGGATCCTACACTTTAAGAGATCTTATCCTATCTAAGTGATGGCACTGTACCGAAAAAAAAAGCCTCCAGTTTCCATCTCTGACCTCGAGATGAAAGATGGGGTCCTGTACTGGCTGTTACACCTGCCAGATAAGATTGTGTACCAGCTGTGTGTTCCGGAAAGATTGCGTGACTCGGCATTGAAAGCGGCTCATACTTCACCTCTAGCAATTCACTCCGGTATACATCGGACATATAAGAATCCGCGGAACATGTTTTACTGGCCCAATATGCTACGTGATGTCCACCAGTATGTTGAACATTGCCTTATGTGTCAGCAGTCAAGAGGGGTCGCCCAACGTGTTCCAGTGGCTGATGCACCTCTAGCTCTTTATCCACTGGAACGTGTGTCATTGGACATTCTCGACCTGTGCCAGGCACCCATGAGATGGGCATTAACTGTCTTAGACCAACATTCTCGGTTCATCCAGATCATCCCATTCCGAGATATAACAGCCTTAAGAGTATATCATGCCTTCCTTGACCATTGGATAACATACTTTGGTCCACCTCGCGTCATCCAGACTGATAATGGCCAGCAGTTCACTTCTAACCTGTTTGCTGAGCTAGTGGACATGTTACGAGCTTCACACCACTTCACCATCCGATATCACCCCTAGGCCAATGGACTCGCGGAACGCACCAACCGTGTTGTCAAGGCAGCTCCACGATCAGTGGTAGGAGATCGACCTAGGGACTGGCACGTTTATACCTGAACTGCGACTCGCCCTTAATTCCGCAATCCATCGTACGACAGGGGAGCAACCCCTCTACCTCCTAACAGGTTGACATGCATACTTTCTTGTAGGCCTCACAAATGATGCAGTCTTCAGTGATAACAATGCATTCCAAGAAAGACTCAAGACAGCTCGCCGGGCAGCTGTGATGGCTTCCAGGGCTTCCCACGAAACTAATGAGAGGGCATACAACAAGCAAGCCAAAGGGACCTTTGCTCCTGAAGACAGGAACCTTGTTTGGTATAAGGAGATGGTGCCACATCCCCTGGGTCCTAGATGGCTAGGGCCTGCCCGGATCTCTAAAAGATTTGGTCCAGTGTCGTTTGAGGTGCAACATCTGGACTCTGGCAAGGTTGTGAGGGCTCACTTTAATCATTTATGCCCTTATCACCCACCACAAGAGTTGTATCCTGATGACAATATTGATCCAGAGGAAGGGGAAGAGGAAGAGGTGCCTTCTGCACCTGATGATCCTTGGGTGGCCATCCTCACAACCTGTGTGCGTGATTTCATAACCCGTGAGCCATCCACAATCAACGGGGATGAAGACAACTAGAGACCTTGGTCCAGTATGCCCAGGCTATGTGCCATGCTGGATCAAGGATTGCTGTTACTTCGATGCGCTAGGGACCTTGGTCGAGTACGCCCAGGCTATGTGCCATGCTGGATCAAGGATTGCTGTTAGTTTGATGCGCTAGGGACCTTGGTTGAGTACGCCCAGGCTATGTGCCATGCTGGATCAAGGATTGCTGTTAGTTTGATGCGCTAGGGACTTTGGTCGAGTACGCCCAGGCTATGTGCCATGCTGGATCAAGGATTGCTGTTAGTTTGATGCACTAGGGACCTTGGTCGAGTACTCCCAGGCTATGTGCCATGCTGGATCAAGGATTGCTGTTACTTCGATGTGCTAGGGACCTTGGTCGAGTACGCCCAGGCTATGTGCCATGCTGGATCAAGGATTGCTGTTACTTCGATGCGCTAGGGACCTTGGTCGAGTATGCCCAGGCTATGTGCCATGCTGGATCAAGGATTGCTGTTACTTCGATGCGCTAGGGACCAGTACGCCCAGGCTATGTGCCATGCTGGATCAAGGGTTGCTGTTACCTGTGTGCTAGGGACCTTGAATTGGTACGCCCAGGCTTTGTGCCATGCCAATCAAGGATTGCTGTTAGCTTTGTGCTGTAGGGACCTTGAATTGGTACGATCAGGCTTTGTGCTATGCCGACCAAGGATTGCCGTTAGCTCACCCAACTAGGGAGCTTGGTTCCAGTGCGCCCTTGGCTGTGTACCACACTGGATCAAGCAAGGCTGTTAACTGTGTACTAGGGAGCTTGGACTCAGTGCGCCTTGGCCGTGTGCCACACTGGTTCAAGTGCTGCTGTTAGCCTGCTGTAGGGACTCTACTGTCAGTGTGGCCTTGGCTGTGTGCCACACTGCAGTAGAGATTGCTGTTCATCTGTTGGTTCCACTGCACCATGTCGTGTCCTGGGAGTGTTGAGACCGTCCAGATGCAACCAGATGTTACCAGATCCTCCTGATTTTTGTTTTATGGTGATGGGAATTTTATTTAATATTACTGTTCTTTTATGATCACCTGTCAAACTTATGTCCGCTCCTTTGTGTTTGTCAGGACTCAGGCTTGCTTTTATCTTCCAGGTCTCCGCTGTTCGCTTCGACCCAGAGTGGGGGAGGAATTCTGTAAGGTGCTGCATCTCATCCTCTCCGCTCTCCCGCTCTGACTGCCGTGTTGGAGGATTGTCTCACATGTCTTACCTCGGTTTTGGGTTGTTTTTCTCGATTTTATTTACTTTTGTTTTATTTTAGTTTCTTCTTTTTATTGTGTGTTTTCTCTGAGCGTTTTTATTTATGATTTAACAATGAGACATTTTTATGACCCTTTTATCATCAGCTTTTATTCATTTGTTTTTTTTAACATTCAGTAAAGTTTAAGGTCTCGTATTTACTTAGTTTTCATTTTAAGTTGTAGGGGAAGCATTTTTATGTAGTGTTTTTATTCGTTTGTTTTAGTTATTGTGTTTCTTTTTCTTGTGATTTCTATTTTATACTTTTAGTTTTAGTTTTGTTCATTTTTATGCGCCTTTTTAGCTTATTTATTGCAAGACTATGTTTTGAAAAAGTGTTTGGCCTGTGACGTCACCAGGGCATTGAAAAGGGAAACAAAAAACAGTACGAGTCGAGACGTCAACGAGTGTTTCGCTATCCTCCGAAGCTTTGAACCACCGGCAGTGTCATCATATTTGTTGAACCAAACACAGAGACGATCACGGAAGAATATAAGTTAAGTACTGAGATCCTGATATTCTTTGCATAGGAGCTGGACGTGATCCTAAGAACATTTTTATTGAATGATTTGAACATCCTTTTATTTATTTATTATTAAATGAACTTGGCTGGTTTGTTTCTCTGTTTTATTTGTAACTTTCAACATTTCAATGTAGGAAGTCTGAGTGATCTTTTAGTTCTAGTTTTCCTGTTTCGGTGTCACCAGACTCGGGTTTTATACTGTCGTATTTTGTTTTCTTTTAGGATTTAAGGGGTTTTAAGCCTCCTCCTCGTGGCCACCCATGGAAACTGGGTACCTTGCGGTTCCAGGCTAAACTGAGGGGATCTCGGAGCAGCAGGAGGCCCCAGAGGTTCAGGGCCATGGCCCACCGGCGTGTGGACACGCCCTGGCCCTGTACCAACTCCTGCCCCCTAGCCCCCTGGGGTTAATGGGAGGCTCGGGGGAGGTGGGCCTTGCCAGTCCTCCTCCCCCCAGATAAAACCAATCGGCAGTGCTTAGTATAAATGGAAAGGCTGGGAGGAGGGAAAAGTCCCTCCCACCCAGCAAGTGAGGCGGACTGTGGGCCCTGCTGGGAGGGCGACTGCTGGAGCGCAGGCTGGGAACGGGGACTACCCGTCTCGCCTACGCTCTGGTGGCCGCCAGCCCAGAGTGAAGCTTGTGGGGGAAAGCCCTCGGGAACCCCACAGGCGGATGATGGGGCACGCAGCCCGCCACCCCCTTTTATATGGGGCAACGTCGGTGGGGTGGCAGAGGTGGCATCCACCCGGAGCGACTGCCAGAGGCTGAACCTCAGGCGGGAAGTCAGGGTGGGGGCTTGGAACGTCCGTTCTTTGCGTCAGGATGATCGGTTGCCTCTACTGTCGAGGGAACTGGGGAGGCTGAGAGTTGAGGTGGCTGCTCTCTCGGAGGTGAGGAGGCCTGGCAGCGGCACGACCTGTGTAGGTGGCTACACCTATTACTGGTCGGGCCGCAGCGATGGCCACCATCTCCAGGGAGTAGCCATTGCCGTCTCCAGCAGACTCCAGCCCTCGGTAGTAGAGGTTACTCCTGTTGATGAGCGTATAATGGTATTGAGATTGAAGCTTTCTTTTGGCTTCATGTCTCTTATTGCTGTGTACGCTCCTACCGATGTTTGTAAACTTGACGTGAAAGAGATGTTCTACGCCAAACTTACATCTGTGGCAGACAGATGTCCCCGACGAGATATTCGCATTGTTCTGGGCGACTTCAATGGGTATCTGGCTGTGATCGAGCTGGCTATGAGATGTCTGTCGGTCCCCATGGTTCAGGAGCTGATGCCGGTAGCGAGAATAGCCTCCTTTTCCGGGACTTTGCTAGGTCCCAGAAATTGAGGATTTCTGGCTCCTGGTACCAGCGCCCAGACCCTCATCGCTGGACATGGTACAGTGATGCGGGTAACGCAGCCAAGGAGATCGACCACATACTTGTTAGCACTCGTTGGAGGATCCTTCAAAATTGCAGGGTGTACAGGAGTGCTGAGTTCTGTGGTACTGACCATAGATTGGTTGTGGCTACCCTCCGAGTCCACTTCAAAACCCACCAGCGGTCAAATGATCACCCTAGGGTGTTTCATTTGGACAGGCTGAGGGAGGGGGAGTGTGCCCGCGGGTTTGCTGAGGCAATCTCTGATCGTTTCGCAGTGCTTGGCAGTCTGACAGACCCTGTTCTTCTGTGGGATACCTTTAAGCGCGAAACGCTTGATGCAGCTCAAGATACGATTGGTGTACGCCCGAGAGCAGTACAGAATTCCATCTCGCGGAGACACTGGAAGCCACAGATGCATGTCGTGCGGCTCGTCTGACAGGGGATCGGGAATTGCACCGTTCTCATGTGCGCAGAACTCGGTCCCTGTTAAGAAGGGACAAGGAACAGTTTATTAGGAGTCTTGCAGAGGAGGTAGAAGGCCATTTCTTAGTAAATGACTTTCGTCCTGCATACCAAGCCCTGAGAAAGCTGAACTCCAAGCCCTCTTCACAGGTGACAGTAGTTCGCTCAGTAAGTGGTCAAATCGTTTCAGATCCTGTTGCGGTGCGGGGACGTTGGGCTGAGTATTTTGAGCAGCTGTACCAGGTTGACCCACCAACAGTTAACTTGGATGCGGTAGTGTCGAGATCCCGCTGCCAGATCCACCTATCAGTGAGGACCCTCCCTCCCTAACTGAAGTTAGGGGGGCGATTTCCAAGCTGAAGAGTGGTAAAGCAGCTGGTATCTGCGGCATACCAGCTGAACTGTTAAAGGCTGGTGGTGAACCTATGGCACGGGGGTTACATGCTGTCCTGGCTGCCATCTGGCAGTCCGGTTCCGTTCCTCCTGACCTGTTGAGGGGTGTGGTCATCCCTCTCTGGAAGGGGAAGGGGGACCGTTGGGACTGCAGCAATCACCGAGGCATCACACTGCTCAGTGTACCAGGCAAGGTTCTCGCCCACATCCTTCTGAGACGTATCAGAGACCATCTACTGAGACACCAAAGACTGGAGCAATCCGGATTCACTCCTGGTAAGTCCACAATAGACCGTATCCTCGCGCTTCGAGTCATTGTAGAGCGCCGTCGTGAATTCGGGCGTGGGCTACTTGCAGCCTACATCGACCTCAAGAAGGCGTTCGATACGGTGCATCGGGAGTCACTTTGGGAGATCCTGAGGCTGAGAGGAATACCAACAAGGATTATTGGACTAATAGCAAGCCTGTATACTGGTACTGAAAGTGCTGTAAAGTGTGGTGGGGGCCTGTCGAGCTTCTTTCCTGTTAGTTCAGGAGTGAGGCAAGGCTGTGTCCTTGCGCCAACTCTTTTCAACACTTGCATGGACTGGATACTGGGCAGAGCTACTGTTCAAAGTCATTGTGGGGCAACGCTGGGCAATATCAAGGTTACAGACCTTGACTTTGCTGATGACGTTGCCATTCTATCTGAGTCTTTGGAAACCCTAGTGGCGGCTCTCGATGCATTTAGCAATGAAGCAAAGCCCCTGGGTCTAGAGGTCTCCTGGACCAAGACCAAGGTCCAGGAATTTGGGGACTTGATAGGAGAACCTGTTCAGTCGGTACGTGCTTGCGGCGAGGACATTGAAGTCACAGAGAGCTTTACATACCTTGGTAGTGTAGTTCATAACTCTGGGCTGTCAGACCATGAAGTCAGCAGACGGATTGGCCTGGCAGCAGGGGTCATGAACTCTCTCAACAAGAGTATTTGGGAGATGTCGGTACCTGTGCAGAAGGACCAAGCTTCGGGTTTTCAAGGCCCTGATAATGCCAGTTTTGCTATACGGTAGCGAAACCTGGACATTGTCCTGTGCCTTGGAGGCTCGTCTTGAAGCCTTTTGCAATAGGTCCTTGCGCCAGATCATGGGGTACTGTTGGCGGGACCATGTGTCCAACCAACGGTTGCACCGTGAGACTGGCACAAGCCCTGTTATCTGCACAATCCGTGATCGCCAACTCAGGCTATACGGCCACCTGGCTCGCTTTCCTCAGGATGATCCTGCCCATCAGGTCGTCTCTATTCGAGACAACCCTGGGTGGAGGAGGCCTGTGGGACGACCGAGGAAGTCGTGGCTTGGGCAGATCGACCAAACCTGCCGTGATGAACTAGAGATGGGCCGAGTCCCTGCCTGGCGTCTAGCCATGAGGGATCCTCGTGGGTGGAAGCGAAGGGTGGATGCGGCTATGCGCCCCCGTCGGCGTCAGCCCCCATGATGATGATGATAAGCCTTCAGCTCTGACGCCAGACTTGCTGGTTTTGTCTTTGTTTTATGGTAAGGCTTTCTTTTAGTTTTTGCATACGACAGTAATTTTAGGTGCCTTTAGCACATATTCTTTTACTTTTGTATTTTTCATAACCCATCAGGGACGGGTAAAAATTTTGGCAAGTTTACGTATGCACGGGCTTGTTAGCGCGCACCGGTAATTTCCCGTTTGCGCCCGGCTCGATCGGTAGTTTGCGAGCGTCATATAGCACCTAAAAGCTTTTATTTTGCTAAAATTTATGAAAAAATTAAAATTTTGAAGGTTTACCTTCATTACCTAAAATCTATACCATATAAATGAAGCCGCTACTACTGGAGAAAAACAACCTCCGTCTGACGAGCCAGTAGCGCGGGAATGGGCATGGCATGATGCCCTGGCGTTTGGTCCACAACAGCCATGGCATGTACGTACGTTACACCCGGCGCCAATGGGTTAAGGGAATCTAGTTGTATTTTACCATATGGTTAGGCTGAACGTCAGAAAGTGGTATTCACACTGGAACACCCCTATTAATGACCCAGTCTCCCTCTCCCATGGACTCTTCTCCTCCATGCTACCATCCCCTAAAAGGGGGAATTGACACAAGGGTTATGCAGGTATTTTTGTGCCTGTATCCCGCTGCATCAAAATCAAAGCAGGAATCTTCTAAGAGTGACTGATGAACTGGGACTCGGACCCTCCCTGTTAGACCAGATCACACTAACATACTTTTGATAAGCATACCACAATTATCAAAACACTAATTACTCTTACTCTCCAGTGTAGAGCTGAGATTTCTGAAAAGTAATTATCAGTTCCTATTTGATAAACAAACCTAATATATTCTCAAACCTAAATCTAATCTTATACTAGTCATTTTATTTTTATACTTAAAAAGCTAACTTAAACTTGAAAATCAAATCTTATATTTAATCCATTATATAATTTCTTTCTTCAAAAGTTTACTTAATATCCTACTTAAACATGAAACTTAAATCAATTACTTTTTCCATTATATAGTCAAATACAAGTCTTAAAATAATCTCTCAAGATTAATGATCAGAAAATCGTAAACAGAGGGGGTCCAAAAACCCGGATTACACGGGTGTGGTCACACTTATGTTCCTATCACGAGGGAATAAAGAAGGGAGGCACATACGATCACTTTCAGATAGGCGTGTTCGCGCACAATATAAAGGTCGTGGGCCGATGTCTGCCACTGTCTCGCAGCGGTTATAGTTTTTGCGGAAGGTGTGTTGGCGGCTCTCGATTCGAGGGTGTCTCGTTGATCAGCTTTATGAGCGTTACTCGTACGCTGTTG